TGGAGCTTCCAGACTAAATCAGATAGGAAAAAGGAGAGGCAGACCACTTCTGAATGGTTAGCTACTGAAAAACTTATGAAAAACAGTGGAATATTGTCTAGTATAGTGGCAGAAGATGAACCTCTCAAGTTAGAAGGCATTCAAAATACAACTGGGGAAGAGCTGCCTCCTCAAAGTAGAGTTGACAAATTGAATAGGAATGACAATACATTCATTGTCAAAAAGAACATTTCAAGATCTATCTTGAAGTACGGCACTGTTATAGAATAATAGCCATATACCTACAAGGAAGACCAGTTAATATCACAATTATTCAAATTTATACACAAGCCACTAATGCCAGTGGTGACAAAATTGAAGAATTCTCCCAACTTCTTCAGGCTGAAATTGATCAAACATGCAACCAAGATGCACTGATAATTACTGGTGATTGGAATATGAAAGCTGGAATCAAAGACAAAGGATCAGTTGGAAAATATGGCCTTGGTGATAGAAATGATGCTGGAGATCTCATGATAGTATTTTTCAAAATTAACGACTTATTCATTGCAAGTACGTTTTTGGTGCATAAAAGGCAACTAACTATACCTGTGGACTTCACCAGATGGAATACACAGGAAGCAAATTGACTACATCTGTGGAAAGAAACAAGACACTCAATATCATCAGCTAAAACAAGGCCAAGAGCAGACCATCACTTGCTCATATGCAAGTTCAGGCTGAAACTAAAGAAAATTAAAACAAGTCCATGAGAGCCTAAATATGACCTTGAATGCATCCCACCTGAATTTAGAGACCATCTTAAGAACAGATTTGATGCATTAGACACTAATGACCAAAGACCAGAAGAGTTGTGGGTTAACATCAATCACATCATACAAGAAGAAAGCAAAAGGTCATTTGAAAGACTGAAAAGAAATAAAAGGGGTCAGAAGAGATTCTGAGACTTACTCTTCAGTGTAGAGAAGCAAAAATGAATGGAAGAAATGAAGAAATAAACGAGCTGAACAGAAAATTTCAAAGGGCAGCTTGAGAAGCGAAAGACAAGATGAAAACTATTCATTGGTGATTCTACCTCTTCCCCTTTGCTCTGAAACTAAACTCCCTCTTGAAAATTTGTAAGCCAGCCACTTCGTGCCTTTATGCCCCTGCCTCCCAATTTTAGGTGGTTGTTGTTAAGTGCCATTGAGTTGATTCTGACCCATAGCGACCCTGTATAGGGTTTCCGAGGAACAGCTATAGGGACCCTGTATAGGGTTTCTGAGGAGCAGCTGTAGCGACCCTGTATAGGGTTTCCGAGGAGCAGCTGGTGAGCTTGACCCACCGACTTTGCAGTTCACATGACTTTGCAGTCTGGTGCATTAACTCACAGCACCACACCAGGACAGCCATTATCTAAGTTGCCTGTCCCTATCAACCTTGTGTACTGAGGGCATAGGCTTGATCCTTGATGTGAAGACTCCTTTCCTCTCAGTTTTATTTTGGGCAACTGCATCCATAAGCAAAGGTCAAGTTCATCAAATTTCTACAAAGTAATTTAGGGAAAATATTGAGTCTCTGACTCATGAGTACCTCTCTCCATTTATATAGGACTTTAAAAAAAAATTCTCTCAGCAATATTTGTAGTTTTCAGTGTGTGCACAAATTTTGTCATAGGAATTTTATGTTTTTGATGCCCTGCCAGTTTTATTTTAACTTGAAAAATAAAAAAAGACATATTATGCTCATTGCCTTTGCATGACATGTATAAAATTGGAGTTCTGGTGTGGCTCTGTGGATTAATGCACCAGACTGCAAAGCCATTTAAACTGCAAGATTGGTGGTTCAAGCTCACCAGTTTCTCCTCAGAAATGCTATACAGGGTTGCTATGGTTGGAATTGACTCGAAGGCACTTAACAACAACATGTCTAAAATTATTCCAGAATAGTTTACTTAGAGAAAGAGAAAACCAACTTATTACTGAGCACTGAAATTGTCTGTACTCCTTACCAAGACTGGAGGATTTCTCCAGTACATTTTCTCAGACAGGTGAAGGAGCAGAGGTGGTAGCTGGTTGGGTTGATGTGAGGTTAGAGATTTGCACTGGGGGATAGATTTCTTAGTCCTGCTTTTTGTAAGTCCCTTAGTCCCTCAAAGGTCTAGTCTCTGTCTTCTTTGCTACAAATGCAAAATTTCTTTCTCTTTAAGTTCTGCAGAGGGATAACTCAGGTCTTTCTGCCTCCTTTTCCAATTTCCCTTTGGAATGTAGGGACAGTGATGTAGGGCTGGAGAGACACATGTGCTGAGGGAGGAATGGATATTCAGACAATTGAAGGGAAGGTCCAGTCATTGGAAATCTTTTTTATGGAGGGCAGAAACTGTAATCTACTATCACATATCCCTGGACTCTTGTTGAGAATGAAAATGGAACTGGTCAAGTATGGCTCTAGAACATTGAAGTTGTCCATATGAATGTGGGGGACAGTGAACTGTTAGGTACAGTTCCTCTTTATCTCCCATCATTTGTGAATGAGGAACTATCAAGAGAGAAGCTGCCACAGTCCCTTTATCTACATCCTGGTGCAACTTCTCTCTGTAGCCAGGGAGCTTCCCATGGGAAGTTTCTGGCACTCAGGAAGGGGAAAGGGATTATCAGTGGAAAAAAATCTAATGGGAATCATGTTGTTGTTGTAAAGTGCACTGTAGTCAGTTCTGACTCAGCGACAGTGCACAGGCTTTCTAGGAGTCCTGGTGTGGCGCTGTTGGATGAGCACTCAACTTCAAGGTCAGTTTGAACTGCAAAGTCGGCAGTTCAAACTCACTAGCTACTCCTCAGAAACCCTATACAGGGCCTCTTAACAACAATAGTTTCCAAGGAACAAATGATAGGTTTGAACCATCAACCTTGTGGTTAGCAGTCTAGTTCTGATCCTACAATGCCACATCAGGACTACACTGGGGAATCATGGTGTAGTAGAAAGAACCATATTCTAGGAGTCCAGAGGTCACTTCAAATCCTGACTCTGTCACCATTTCCCTGGTGGCCTTGGGCCAGCTACTTTCACTCTATAAAATGAGTTGAACTACATGATCTTAAAGATCTCTTCATGAGGAGAGGGACTATGTGCTTGTTTGTTTTTCCTAGCATATAACACAGTGCCAGACAAATAGTAAGGATTCAGGAAATAGTGTGATTAGTGAATAAATGAATGAATGAAATAAGTGCTCAAAAAGTAAAAGGGCCCAAAGTAAAGTTCATAGACATGGCTGGTGGGTGGCATCACCTCACTGCATAACCACAAGAGGGTGTTGTAATCTCAGACCAAAGGAAATAATTTAAATTAGAAATGAACTAAGTTAAAAAAGAAATGGCCTGAGAACCTGATCTTTTGAATGGATAGTAGAACCCTGGAATTCTGGCACAGCTTGAAATCCAAAGCATTAAATACATCTTCACTGCCAGATTGGCAAGGTGATCTGGGTGGTTTGAAGAACAGATGTGGCCCAGAGAGATGGATGACTGGCAAAAAGTCAAGCAGGAGCAATGCCAGTGGGGCTCACCTGATCATGGTGAGTACCCTTCTCCTACTATCCTCTCCCCTTACTAAAACCCCAAACATCCTGGCACCCAGCCTGGAACCATCTCACTTCTGGTGCTCTCCCTATCAGTTCATTAAACCCACCATTGATTTATTATCCTGAAGGGCCCCTTCCTCCTGTGGCACTCCAAGGGAAGAAAACATCAAGCATTGTCTTCATTAGCCCTCCAAGGGCAGGAAGGTGTTGAATATGTGGGAGTCCTTGAAAAAGACTTACCCTTTTACCTTCCCACCTCCCACCCATCTCTCCCCCCAGGCACAGCTCCTAACGCAATGGGTGTGGATGTGGGCATGGAAGGGAGGCACATTTTCCAGTTCAGACTGAGATCATGGGGAGACCGGATGAGGTGTGGTGAGGGTGTATCTCAGGATCCAGATCTTTGAAATGGTGTTGGGTTGGAAGGGTGAGTGGGGGTACCATTGATCTCTGGCTTCCTGATGAGAACAGGAAAGGGTAAAAGAGCATAGGAGTGATGAAGGTTAGCTGGACTACTTGATCATCAGAAACAGAACTGAGGTCCAGGTCTACTCAGGTCCTCACACGCCCAGAGTTCCCACTGGGGATAGAACAGGAAGCTGTGACTTCCTCTCCCCTTTTCCTCCCTGCCCTTAACCTCAAGGTCACTTGCTGCTGAGATTAATTCCAACCTGTGTTTTAGTTGGCACACTTCCCTGGGCATGGTAATAGCTGCTCTGTACCTGCTCCCTTCCTTCATAAAACCCAAGCTGCTCCTTGAAATAATAATCATTCATGCAAATAGTGACGTAAGAAGTACTTTTTCACATGCATTATCTTGTTTCATTACGCCAATACTGTGAAGCAGAAACTTTTATCTGAAAATTTTAAGTATGGAAACTGTGGTTCAGAGGAGTTGAGCAACTCCCTCGAAGTCACACAGCTAATGAGTAGCAGATCTGGAATTTCAGAACCTCTACTCTTTCCTCTCAGACACTCATTCTGATTCTCTGTGTGCTCTTCCAGACCTCTTTCTTCACTTAGGTCCCAAGGGATCTTTTTCTGCAGAGAGGGTATTTGCACATTGTTAGGGAAAGAGGGGACTCTAACCTTCTTCCTGGGATGGAGATGTGGGGTTGTCCTACACAGTGGAATAAGTTTTTTCCCACTCTTTCTGCTGCATACAGCCTTTCTTTCTCTTCCCCCACCCCCACTATATATCACAGTGTGCAGGATTTACCTTGCCCTGCCCCACCCACCACCAATCACAACCAACAGGGACAAGGCAGCTTGTCTCATCAGTACCCCTCCCTCTGAGGTGTGGGTTGTGGGCGTGAGTTGGAGCTTCTGGCAGGTAGAGGCCAAAAGAGAGACATTTGCAAACAGAGCCTTCTGCTGACAGCCTGTGGTTGGCCCGTGCCAGTCTCTAGGGAAGGCAGGCACCACTGACCTTTGATGCCTTGCAATGCCCACACTCAATGTCTCTGTCCCCCTACTCATGCCCCTCTGGGCCAATACCTCTGGAGACAATGTGCTGAATGCTGATGCTGCTGCAGTGCCTGTTAATTCTCTAGCCCTGAGGGTCGTGGTTGCTCTGGCCTACGGACTCGTGGGGTTCATCGGCTTGCTGGGAAATTTGGCTGTACTATGGGTGCTAGGTGGCTGTGCTCAGGACACCCCTCATCTACCTTCTGACACCTTCATCTTCAACCTGGCTCTAGCAGACCTGGGACTGGCATTCACTCTCCCCTTCTGGGCAGCTGAGTCGGCACTGGACTTCCACTGGCCCTTTGGAGGTACCCTCTGCAAGATGGTCCTGACAGCCACTGTCCTCAATGTCTATGCCAGCATATTCCTCATCACAGCACTGAGTGTGGCCCGCTACTGGGTGGTAGCCATGGCTACAGGTCCAGGTACCCATCTCTCCCTCTTCTGGGCTCGCATGGCCACCCTGGCAGCATGGGTAGCGGCTGCCCTGGCAACGGTACCCACAACTGTTTTTGGAGCCGAAGGTGAAGTTTGGGGTGTGCGCTTGTGTCTGATCCGCTTCCCTAGCAGGTACTGGCTGGGGGTCTACCATCTGCAGAGAGTGGTGTTGGCCTTCCTGGTGCCTTTGGGCATCATCACCACCAGTTACTTCCTGCTACTGGCTTTTCTGCGGCAACAACAGTGGCGACGGAGGGACAGCAGGGTTGTGGCTCGTTCTATCCACATTCTGGTGGCCTCCTTCTTCCTCTGCTGGTTTCCCAACCATGTAGTCACTCTCTGGGGTGTCCTGGTGAAGTTTGACCTGGTACCTGGTGACAGCACTTTCTACATACTCCACACCTATGTCTTCCCTGTCACCACCTGTCTGGCACACAGCAACAGCTGTCTCAACCCCATATTGTATTGTCTTCTAAGGCAGGAACCTCGTCGGGCCCTGGTGGACATCTTCAGGAATCTGCGAGTGAAGCTATGGCCCCAGGGCCAGAACAGGGTGGAACAAGTAGCCCTAAAGGAGGTAGGCAGACTATGGGCAGCAGGCACGCCCCAGGAGAGTGAGTCTTTTACTATGGCCACCAACCTAGACAAAAGGACACCTGAGTATAGGGTTCCAAGCTGAGTATCCTCCTCTTCTTGGGACCTGGAACTGCCTCTTTGTAGGATTCAGGCATCCTAAGGAGACACTGGCACCTTTGCCCTCAGGGAAAGTCTGGTCTTTGATCCCCAATCTCTGGGTGCAGTGGAAGGGAGGAGGTGAAAGCCAAGTCAGTGCTACGCATGACAAAACTTGTTTTGGTTTGGAGAAGACCTGAGAATAAAAGTCGATTGTTCTCATTCTGTCTTGGCCTTTTTTATCCCACTTCCCCTTCCAGTTCAGTGTGAGGTAAAAGGATTCCTGGCCCAATTTCCTCTAAGAATTCCAGTAAGTTTTTCTTAAGGGCTTTAGACTTAAATCAGAGGTCCAGGTCCATCTCCCTCTTTTCTCTTGTTTTTACCTCAAAATGGGGTGCACCCTTGTCTTTCTCTGGTGCCAAGGTCAAAAATGCTCTCCTTCCCTAGCCATCCCTGTCTCTCAACATCTCCATGGTGCCCTCAGAAACTTGGTGCCTTCAGAGGCCACAGCTGTAAAAGCTGTAGTTCCCCTGCAGGAAGATGGGGTGGTGGTGGGTGGTTTTCTGGATCCCTGGCACCTGCTCAGCCCTGGGTGTAATGCCCTGCTTCTGGCTGGGAGCACCTGTGGATCTCTCCTTAAATATGGGTTTGAAGAGAGAAGTCAAGTCAAGGATATGAGTGGGACACAGAGATGCACAAAAGGGTTGTGAGAAGAGGCTGAGGATTATGCTGTTTGGTTCCCACTCAGAGCAACCCTGTATAGGGTTTCCATGGAGCGACTGCTGAGTTTGAACAGACTTTGCAGTTCAAACCAACCGTGCAGTTGAGTGCTTATCCTACAGCGCCACACAAGGACTCCTTTAGGTTAGTGGTGGTGGTTGTGTGTCGTGGAGTGGTTCTGACTCATATTGACCCTCTATAGGGTTTAAGGCTATAAATCTTTACAGGAGCAGACAGCCTCATCTTTCTCCCACAGAACAGCTAATAGTTTCGAACTGCTGACCATTAGGTTAGCAGCCAGACTCATAACCACTAAGCTTATTGACCACATACTGTTTGTGCTACCCAGAGACACTTAAGACCCCTTGTAAAGTGAAGGAAAACAGAGGAAACAAGGGGGACAGCTGGGAGCTAGAGGCAAGGGATTTATGTAAGTCTTTTCTGGAATTGTTTTGCATGCTCTAGAGTGATCTGAGCCTTATGTAAAGAACTGAGTGAATGACCCTTCACATTCTACTTGAAGGCATATTCTCTATGGGATGGGATGCCCCTTTGGTTTCCATATTCATAGAGTAGTAACACAAGTTAGGCATGGAAAGGGACTTTTGGGGGGCAGCTCCTGGGAAGGAGGGAAACTGGCAGAGGGAGTAGAGCACCCAATTCTATTGCTCCTGTGGATCAAGGTCCCTGATGTGTCTGTAACCCAGGATGATTATGATGGCCACTCAAGATCCCGGGTTCTGCAGATTTAGTCTCTCTCTGTATGTTATATTTCTTTTGATGTGTAAACTAGTTCTAAAACTACTTATCTATTCCCAGCCAATTCAGGAAGATGGTAAACTGCCCCTGCTTCTTCTCACCCCTGCTTCCCAAAACTCTTCTGCCAACCTTGCTGGGATCCGGATATTGGCTCTGCTGGGGACATCCCTGCTTTATGAGACCTGGAGATAAATATTGACAGAGTTTAAATAGGTCCAAGTCAGAGATGAATGAATGAAGACCTACCTTTATTAAGGGGGGTTGGTAGGCAAGGGTATGGACATTGGAAGGCTGGCCAGGGCCCAGGCCATTCATGTTGAAGCTCTTCTAAATGGAAAGGCCATGTTTCAGAGAGAAGACTGAGCCCTGGCTCCCTAGAGCACAAAGCTAGTGAGCTTTTAAACTGCAGCAGGAAGAATAGAGGTTAAGAATGAGTTTCCCAAAGTGGGATTTGGGCGGGAACAGAACAAGGTGAAAGATGTGAAAGGGGGGCTTGTCTTGCAGGAACAGCCACATCAGAGACATACTTTGACATCTTGTTTTGGGGCCAAAGATGAGAAGTTTTGGTAAAAGGATGGCAAGAGGGACAGTGCTGCTGGAGATAAGCAGCATTGTCCTGCCATGAGCTATGGGGCTTCTCCCCACTTCACTTTGGGGTTTGTGTCTTAGTTTCTCTGAGCAGCATCCCTCACTAGATCCATGTGAGAACGTCAGGGGAGCCTGTACCTTTCCTGGTGGTCTTTGAATGCCTTTCATTAGGACTGGTCTTCCTCCCTCCACTGTCACATCTGTGGGTTCCAGCTGCTGCCAGCAGACAAGGGTGGACAGCTGCTGAGATTCATGCCAATGTGCATTTGGAACTGGAAGCTTGTATATTTTTAGGCAGGGTAGATAGGAAATGGAGGGCTAAATCTAGGACTGGCCCCTTCTTGACTGGCTTATCTCAGCTTCTCCGTCTATAAAACAAGAGCCATTTCTACCTTATGGGATTCCTGTAGTTTAAAAAGTACCTTGAAAAGGCCAGATGCTGGTGAATGAGTAACAGAAGTGGAGGGTGTTGGCTGTTCCTCCAAGCCAACACATTATGCAATTTCAATTCCTCTTTGTAGCTGAGGTGCCATCTTCTCATCTTACTCCATAAGCTCCATGATACCTATGTGTACCAGGACTTACTGTCTCACCTCCTCCTCTCCCAGCCCATTTCCAGAGCAGGGCACCAACCGGAAACCAGAAACAAAACTAAACCAAACCAAGAACTGAAATCACCTAATTATCTCAAGTGCCTCTAGAAGAGACAAACAGCAAATGAGTAACTCCTATAAAGGGAAGGGTCTTAAGGAGATTGATTACTCCAGGACTCTGACACTATGGAGAAAAATGACAGAGTGGGAGCTGAATTTAGAAATGAAGGACATGGGGAGAGGATAAGAATAACTGTGCCAAAATGGAGGGAAGGGGGAACTGGCTGAAGTGATTTTCAGCAGGGCATACAAACGAAGTGAAAGCAAGTTTTCAACTGTTAGATGAAATTCCCAATTGGAATCTGTTGGGATTACCAATTTAGGCACTAGAACCCAACTAGCTCCTTTATTTTTATCTTTGTGTTTGTGAATATCCCCTACCTTTCTTTGTTAGGGCTCCCTCTTCCCAGTGAGGGAGAGGAGAGGAGAAGGCCCCTTTTAGAAACTGAGGTCCCTCCCTGGCACCCCACACCTCCTTCTTAGCTCCCCTCAGTAAACATCAACAGAGACAACACCTCATGGGGTTCCAGGTCTTTTATTTTCCCTGCTTAATCTTTTCCCCCCCTTCTTTTTTTTTTTTTTACAATCAAATTGGCAGAAAAATGGCTGGCCTGGTGGGTGCTGGGGGTCTGTTGAAAAATCCCCAAAACTCACACTGAGGTTTCAGGTCATAATTTCTTAGGTGAGGAGGGGAGGTTAGGGTTTCTAGAGATTTCCCAACCCACCCTAGAACTTCTTTTTCCAAGTGGCTGGGGACGACATCAGAATAGGCCTCCCATATTGTAAATGAGAGAAGAAGACATTGTCTTCTCTTCCGCTCAAGTTTTACAGATGTGGAGATAGAAGGCTATGATCTCTAATTGCCTACAATCTTCTCTTAAAAATATAAAACACGTGCAGCTGGCTTTGGTACAAAAAAGAAAAAACAAAAACAAAACATTCTGGTCCCTGTGGGATTTTTTCCCTCACCCCCCCAACAAACCATTATGGCCACCCCAACCTTTATTCCATCAACTCTAGGAAGCCAGGTTAACTCCCTGGGGTTTCCATGGAAGATGGAGAAAAGGGAGAACAGCAGTAAGAGGTTGAGGGGAGAGGGGGGAGGGACATGGCCCTGCCTACAGCCCTTCTTAAAGGAACAGTAGGATCCTGTGGCTGCAGCCTCTCCTCAAAGATGCCTGTTGTTGAGGGAGAGCTGTTATGGCTAGAACCCAGCAGCTGCATGGTTAAGCCCAAATATACCCCAGTAGTGTTAAAGGACAAGGCCTCCTGATCCCTATGGCTTGGTTCCCATGTCCCTGGCCCTTTAAATCTCCCCTCTCCCCCATAACTAATAATAAATAAATAAATTTTCCTAAAGTAGGGAAGAAGGCATGAAAAGTTGGCATCTGTGGTGTTGCTTTTGGATGCCACCAGACGGCATTGTGGCCTAACTCCCCCAGCTTCTTAAATGGCCCCAGGTATCCAAGGATCCCAGAAGCTGGCAAAGACAATCAGCAGTTATTTCAAATGCTCCCTCACCATTGGCAGATTGGACTTCCCAAGGTTTGCCCCCCTCAGTAATGTTCTTCATGGGGGCAAAGAACAGGGGAAGGGGCCCTTTTAACTCTCTGAAGCTACAGGCTCCCCATCGCGGCTCTCCGTTTCCTCTGGGATGTCCTGCATTCGGGTGAAGTCTGAAAGAGGGCATACAGATCAAAGCCAGTGAGTGAGTAAAAACTCCAATGAAGAACTGCAATCCTGCTAATGTACTCCATAAGTGAGCTGAGGAGCCTCAAAGCTGTGAAGAGAGGGCAAAGGGTCTGAGAAACTGAGTGAGAGAAAAACCTGTCAATGATGTAATATACCCACACCTAGGTACTTACCTTATAAGTATACAGAGATAATTGCATTAGTAAAATACAAACTATTTTAAGATTATCATATAAAGTCATGGTAGTTTTTAGCTATTCTGTACCCCTGCTTCTCACTGTCCCAGTGTGGTGCTATAGGATAGGTACTGGACTGCTAACCAAACGTTAGTGGTTCAAACCCACCAGCCACTCTCAGAAACCCTATGCAGGGTTGCCATGAGTCAGGATGGATTTGATGGCACTTAACAACAACTCCTCACTTGGAGTCCTGGTGTGGCTATAGGATAAGCACTGGACTGCTAACCACAAGGTTGGCAATTCAAACCCACCAGTCCCTCCTTGGAAACCAAAACCCTATACAGGATCGCTGTGAGTTGGAACTGTTTCAAGGGCACTTAATAACAACTCACTTATCAACTATTTTGTTATCTGAC